ACTGACACCACAATCCACCTTCAGCCCTCAGCCAGGCCTAGATCATGGGCAAATGGGTGCCTGGTGTCCTCAGGAAGATTTGAACTGGGAATCTTTGACATTCCCTCTCAGAGCTTCGCTCTTTACCACTGCACTACCACCTGGCCCTAATCATTGTTTCTACTCTGAGTCATCTTATATAAGGTGTGAATAGGGCCCGCTTCATGGATATGCAATCTGTATGAGCACATAAGACCCCGTGCTCAGAAGGGCTCCTTATTTATTGTCTTTAAACTTGTGATAATTGTGCCTTTGAACTTGTGCTTTGTAAATGAAGTCTGAGGGACAATAGAATATGCGTCAGTGGCCTAAAGCCTTGGTTCGTTCCCTGTCCCACTTCCTGCCACCTGCTTGGCTCCTTTGGATGAGTTCTCAATCATCCTTTTCTCTGATCCCTAGCCTTCCAGGAACTATCCAACCTCCTTCTCCCATCCCCATCCGTGACTGCACTTCCCCCCATCTCCTCAGGGTCCTGTGTACAGGTAGAAGGTCTGAGTTAGGCATGTGTGCCTGGCACAGCCTCAGGTGAGGCATGGTAGCAGCTGTAACTGCCTAGATTGGCATGGCTGGACAGCAATGGGGCAGACAAAGACCACCATGTCTTGGTGGGAGTGAGCCTTTTGCCCACTCTTGATGCAGGTGCCTCACACGTCCCAGAGCAGAGGCTGCAGTACACTTAGGGGTACACCCAACTACCCAATGGATGTTCTGTTGTGAATTGGGATGTGGAACCACAGGAAAGAAAAGTGTGTGATTTGATTTCTCCAAAGCCTTCCTCTGGCTGGGCACAGCTCATCAGTGTGGCAGCTGACAGGAAGGGAGACCCAGCAGGTGGCGATTAGTGCATGGGTCCCAAGTCAGAGAACGCAAGTCCGAGGTCCCTGGAAGAATATGCACACACCTCCTGCTGTCCCCACACCTGAGAGACTACAATCAATATCAAATAAGATATACCAAGCCATACATTCAGATGTCACACATGTACCATGAAAGTATTTTAAACTAAAGATGACTAAATAAAAAAAGGCATAATACAGCAGATTGAGCGAGAGACCAGAGAAGAAAGGAAAGAGCTTCATTCTTTACCTTTCACCGTGCTTTTTTCCTGCCTTTCGAAAACGGGCCCTCACACTTTGATTTTGTTCTGGTCCTGCAAATAATGCAGCTGATTTTTACTGTGAAATCCTTGTCATATGTGCAATTTCTCCTGTCCTAGTCCTCCTCACACTCTCCCCTTCCCACCCCCCTCAATGCCAGGCCTTTAGGTTTCTTTGGTTGCTATTAATAATTATTTCCATGGGGGGGGGGCAGCAGATGGCATAATGGTTACATTGCTGGACTCCCATGTAGTCAACCACAGTTCAAGTCCCAGACTTGGCAGCTTCAAACTCGCACTAGATGCATGTGTGTGCATGCCCAAAATCCCAAGAGGAGGATAGAGGAAAAAAGATTTCAGCATGGCCATCCCCCCAGGGGGTGATGTCTCACTATCTATCTCTCTGTCTGTCCAGCAAGTGCACGTGTCTTATAGCAAAAGTCTCACAAGAAAATAAATTTTAAAAATAAAAAATAATTACTCCTTCATATCAGTCACCTGCTAATAACTGGCTACTACACCAGATACTTCATATGTTTCACCTCATCTAATGTCTTTAGAATTTGGGGGGATAAATACGCCTATCTCTATTTTACGGATATAGGAATTGAGGTCCAGGATCACACAGCAACTGGTAGAAAAGCAAGTCAATATCCTAATTCTTACTCTAAAACTGGTGCTTTTTCCACAGCTGTACCATTCAGCCTCTGGGTGCTTGGGTGTTTACCAGCTGCTCAGGTCGACACCTTGGTTTCTATTCTCCCAAGTATTTCTTGAGTATCTTTCATGAACCAAGTCCTGATGTAGTGCTAGAGTTACAACATGGAGGCCTGGGCTATTTCCTTGGTTGTATCTATAAGTAGCAGGTGTGCGATGCCCTCCATACTTATTTACTGTGTGCCTTCACTTGGTAACTATGATAAGATAGCCATACTATGGGACACCAAGAAAGTCTTGATTGTGGATTAGGAAGTGGGACCAACAGATGGCATGGAAGTAAGAGCGCTGGATCCTGATGGCTAATTTCATGGTTCTAGTCCCGGGCCCGGCAGCTTAAAATTCAGGCTGGGCACATGTGCACATGTGCTCAAAATCCTGAGAAGAGGATGGAGGAGAAGGCATTACAGCATGGCCATCCCCCTGGGGATGCTTTCTCATTTTCTCTCTCTCTTTTTGGTGATGACATGCACCCTATAGAGAAAAACTTAAAAAAAAAAGAAAGTTTAGCAAGTAGGGGCTGGCTTAGTGGCACAGCAATAACATACTATTCAAGAAATACTGGGTCCATAGGGAAGACCACAGGTTTGTGTCTCTGATCCACCTGCTGTTCCAGAAATCTGTACCCATGATCCTACCTGGCTCCAAAGAGTTGGGGGAATTGTGGTGTGAGACCAGTTAAGAGTACCTGTCTCTCTCTCGCATGAAAGAAGAAAATAATGCTTTTTTTAAAAATTGGAAAGTGACTAATTTACTAACATAACCTCAAAAAAGAATTATTTTTGCTTAAAAAGTATCGTTGACCTGACAAAAAGTGGGTGACAGAGCAGGGTCTTATCACATCCATTGGCCGGTCACCCACATCTCACTTTGTGCCAACTCTGGACGCATTCAAGTGCTCGTTCTGTGTACTCAGCAATGAATGAGCTGGGTGTGGGGGGGGGGGGGGGCCTAGTTGGCATATCTTTGAGAGTCTTCCCTTTTTTTAGTGCTTCTGCTAGGATAATTACTATATATCTTTTGTCAAGCTGAAGTGGAAATCAGATCTCTTTTTTCCTTCTTCAAGAAGGAGAAATGTGAAACATCATCCCCTAGTTGTTTTGCATATCAGCTGATTCAGAAGGCTCTGAGCAAACTGCTCTCCCCCACCCCCACCCCCACAGGATTCTGGTGAATGTCTGATCCTAGTTATAGAGAACCACAGGTTGTGATGTGGACCACACCAATGCGGTAAAGCCCAAGGAGCTGGGAGGCGGTTGGGCTTTTTCTTTTATGAGAGGCAGGGAATGAGGATGGGAGAGTTCTATCTCCTCATGAAAAACTTCCTGGGAAGAAGTGCTTTTCTGGAAGAAATCAGAGGAGGCAAAGGGGTGTTTAGGACACTCTAGAGGGTAAGTAGAGAGAATCTTTCGGTTGAGACAGCATTGCAAAGTTGAAGAGGAAGAAAGGAAGGAAGGTACGTGCAAGTCTAGCTTGAAATGAGTTTTTATTAAAAACACCTCAATTCTTGTCTGCACATTTTTGAGGAGTGTGAAAAAAAAAAAAGCGGGGGAACTCACTTCCAGTGGTTTTGTGGCTTTTTAAGTATGATATACAGGATATTGAATTTTAACCCCTGTTTATCCTGAAGTATTCGATATTTTAGGGGTAAACAAAGCAACTGTTCTCTGAAATGTGCGTCTGTGACCAAGTGATTTCAGTCACTTAAAATCACTCTGGGGTTTCTTCCCTTTTCTGCTTCAAGTGTTTGAGTGCCACACACATACAATTATTCATGGAATAATAAAAAGCTATGTGGTCTCACTAAGATTTCTGCGTAGCTGTATTAAAAATGTGTTGTAAATCTGATGGGAATGTTACATTAGAGCACCATGCGGGATTTTTTATTTTATTAATGTCTATTGTATATTTGCATTCCAGAAAGCTTGTTAGAATTAAAGGGGTGTTGACTTAAAATAGTCAAAACCAGTCATTTATGCAGGAGAGGCTGACTGCTTTTTATAACTGTCTGTAGCATCATTAATTCATTTAGCATTTATAAAATTAATTCAGTGTTTATTAACCTAGGTTTCTTAAGTCAATAACCTGGAGTATTTGTTTAGACCCACAAACTTTTGGGTATGCAGTAACATATTGAGGATACATAAAATAAAGTTTTAATTATCCAGCAAAAATGGGATCTTGAAAACACTATTTTTAAAATATGGACCACTGAGAAATATTTCCAGAAAAATCTAAGTTCCTAACGTGACACATCAGAGCCCCTAACTCCAATAGAAATTACAATCCATAGCAGAGTTCACATCTGGCTCCACCGGAAAGTCCGGTTCAGAATTTCCCTGTAATCCCGGCGCCTGCAGAAGGGAAGTTTTAGCTTTGTTTAGTATAACAAGAGCCACAGGACTCCCAGACCAATAAACGTGTTCACGTAAAACTCCAGACAGTCTCTCTCAGGCTGAAATCTTATCAGGGAGACCTCGTTTCGCCTCTAATTAAAGGAGACGTGGAGAGGCGAGGATAGCTTGTGCCTCTTACTTGTGGGTCGGTGTTTGCTACATTAAAAGTTATTCCAACAAGACCGCATTCCCCTGAATGAACGACTGCCTATTCCGATGGTCAAACAGTTTCCTCCCAAATTTCGACTGTCCGTTTCATTTCAAAGAAAAAGCAAACTGAGAAAAAGCTTTCCTCACTTCTCCTCCAGACTGCAAACACTCAGAAATGACATCACTCACCCTAAACAGCCTGGGGATGACTAAGGCAGAGAGAGCCTGAGAAAACGGGCTGCTTCTGCCTTTACTTTTGGGACATTTATGCAGATGAGCTTATAAGAGCCGGTTCCCCGCCTTCTTCCTCAGAGGAAGTTTCTTGGTAGATCACTGACACCTTATCCAGGCGGGGGGGGGGGGGGGGCAAACTTGGCTCCCTCCATCCTGGGCAGAGCACCACGGTGATTTGCTCTCCTGGTGGAGAGAGCTGGAAGGAAGGAGTCAGCGTGCAAATAATGAAGGAGCACGGGGCCACCTTCAGTAGCGCCAGGATCAGCGGCGGCAGCGGGGGCTCAGGATCAGCGGCGGCAGCGGTGACTCTGCTATGGACAGCCTGCAGCCACTCCAGCCTAACTACATGTCTGTGTGTTTGTTTGCAGAAGAATCTTATCAAAAATTAGCAATGGAAACGCTGGAGGAATTAGACTGGTGTTTAGACCAGCTAGAGACCATTCAGACCTACCGCTCTGTCAGTGAGATGGCTTCTAACAAGGTAAGAGATGACCGTTTTATTCATTAAAGTATGACTGAGCCGAGAGCTCCAGCTCCCCCACTTCATCTGCAAGTGTGCGGCAGGGGCAAGATTATGTTTGCTGATCTGTCTCAGAAGATGCTGTTCCAAGGTGCCACACTTTGTATGTGTCTTGATGCTACAGCAAAAGTTTAAAAGCCTCAGTAAGCTTTAGTTCCCTGACACCAAACTTCGTTCTTGTTGATGCAGTTCAGACTATGTGTAAGGTGAAATGTTTCTGTAAATCTTCCAGATTGCAATGCAATTGAAAATGTCTGTCTTATGAACAATTATCAGGAAACTAAAATCTGAGTCTGTAGGATAGAATGTATGACATGCGGCCTTTCAGTCACGTGTTACATAAATGTATTTAAACAACAAATTAAATTGACCTTACCATATCAATGGTAGAAAATGGTTTGCCCACGAGTTTGATAAGTTCCTTCTGAAAATAAAGACATGATAGAATTTTCTAACATTTCTTTTGTGATCCTAGCATGACCTAATATTAAAAAGAAACAACATACTTTGTCTCCAAAAACAAAAACAGAAAGTTATATTTTTAAGCTTGCTTATTTTCATAGTGGACTTTTTAAAAATTGAGTTTCACCCACAATGCCAAAAAAAAAGTAAAGAAAAAGGTAGTGTTTATTTACCATGCCCAAACAAAACTTAGTGTTGAAGTCAAAGAGGTTTAATTATCTATCAGTGTATCCTTTTTAATTAACACTTGCATTTAGAGTGCTAATTTATGTAGCAAGATTTGTTGCTTTTTATATGTATTTTTTCTTGGAAAATGTTTTACATAAAGTTATATATTTGGGTATATATGTGTACACATGCGCATATATATATTGACATATACACACACGTACACACACATACCACACATATTTTGATGGGAAGCCTTAATGCTGTACGTTCATAAGGGCACATTTCAATTTTCAATTATTCTAACCTGAGGTCTGGTTTTATGTTTCTGGGGCTGGGAGAAGATTTCACTCCACACCTGCCAACATGCCCTTCCTAGCAGCGAGGTGCAACATTGAGTTTGTGTCCCTTCTCCCTCTTTCCTGGGTTAAAGTGTCACCTTGGATCAAGGCTTGCTGGCTCCTGCTCAAATGATTTTTGGGTACAGGAAGCCATGCATCCCTAGGAGATCCTGAAAGAGGGGATGGGGGGAGCTCTTCATACTGGGAAGCTCTTTGTTTATTAGTTAATCAAAAGGCAAAAATAAATCCATTTCTGAAGTTTTAGTTTGGAAATCAAGTTGAGGGGGAAAAAAAGAGAGAAGGACACATTTGAGGTTTAACTATTTACTGACTTTTCTCTGAAGTTCTCAATTGCCAAATTCAGGGATTTTCCAGGCTGGGGTAAAACTCAACCAACAGCTTCCCCATAAGAGGGGTTTAACTGCGTAAGTTCTCCAAATCGTTCTGGGTCTCAGGTCGAAGGACTTTCATACACGCTTGTGACTACTTTGGAACATGAGCAGATAGATACTCTGTTTTCTGTCTCTTGAGATAACTGATACCCATTCAAGACATAGTTTCAATCTTACCAGGTAGTTTTTTGACAGGTTTCACCATGAGGACATAGTGAACTTTCAGTCACTGAGATAAATTAGGGAACTCACTCCAGGAGGAGAAAAAGAATACTTCCTGGGAAACTTCAGCTTGCCATTATCTTTTATGTGTTGGTGCCTTGTAGGTTCTGACACCCCTCCCCCCCAGTCTACAGAGCTTAATTTAGTTAGACATGGTCTTGCAAATTGATAGAAAAGACTTATATTCAGCATAGTAGTTGCTGAGGCTCTGAGACAGGCTCTGTGTAGGTCCTGGTGAGAATTCCAATCCCTCAGGCTTCCGCTCCTTCTTAATGGTGTCCTGTGCAGGAAGCAATGAAAGTTGAATAGAGCTAACCCTAAAGTAAGGGCTAAACCTCAATGTTGACATGGTTAGCTTAAGTCTCAGGCATGCAGCCTCACCCACTTTCTATATGGGCAGTGGAAAGGTTGTAGGGCAAAGCAATTGTCTAGTAGATGATTTATGCTCAACTGACAGCTGAAGTCAATTTTAATTTTTAAAAAGATCTCTTTTTTACTCTACTATCTTTTCGGTCTTAAGTTTTGATATTCCAGATAATTGTCTCAAAGAACACTTAAGCACATTTTTGTGGCCACCTTAAAGAAATGGATCTTTATCAGTTCTTCAGAAACTGAATTATCTATGGTTAAAAAAAAATAGAGGCGAAGAGGTGGCATGGTGGTTAAGGCACTGGACTTTCACAGGGCCATCCACAGTTCCAGGCCCAGGCCTGGCAGCTTGCTTTCTCACTTTTTATCTCTCTTTCTCTCTCTCTGGTCAAATTAAAAAAGAATAATAATTAAAATAAAATAAGTAATTCTTAAAGAATCCACATTTAATTTTAAATTTTACCAAAATTATTTGAGATTCTCATCAATCTTGCTATTTAAAAAACATCATCATCATCACTATCGTTACTTGGTTATATTTTGTTTACTTTCATTGAACAAAGAGGGAGCCACAGCAAATCGCTGAGTTAAAGTCCTGAATGACATGCATGAAGACATTTTATAGAGGAAGTACAGGAGGAGCACAGGCTTTGGAGTCAGAAAATCATGGTTCAAATCCTGTCTGTATATTCGTTAGCTAGTTGACATGGGAGAATTTCACTCTTTAAGATGAAATTTAGGCAGAAAATTCATATCCAACTCACCAACTGCTGTGAAGATTCAATGAGAGAGTGTATCTAAAACACTCAGCAGGCACTTGTGTAGTAAAAATCAGTTTCTGATAGCTCACTCATAGCTTCTACAACATTTTTAAAAATAAATTGTGTGCCTAGTTCTGTTTCAGTTAAGTGATCACTGAGTTTTATTCGTGATGTCTGCGAACTGAGTGGTGGCAGAGAGCCACTGTTATGTTGAGGAGGTGGCTGAGAGTTGCATATGTACTAGTCTACATGCACATGGTAGAGATCTAGTGTGTCTGATGGAGAGAAAGCAAGCAATCTTTCATATTCACTTCGTGGGATAGAGTTGTGCTTTGTTTGTTTTCCCGAACCCTTTTTACATTTTGAAGAAAACTACGTGACTCAAAGATGGTCATAGGCTTTCCCAAGTATATTTCAGAGCCCAGGAAGTTAGAAAAGTCCCCCTTTCTGACATATACAACCATAGATTTCTCCTTGGCTCAACATGGATTGATCATTTTAATGCTGACCACAGGCCAAGTGGAATTCCGACATTTTAAAGAATGAGGCAGCCAGGTAGATTAGTATTATTTTCCCCCAAGAATTACAAAGAGGAGTAAGTTCAGCAGAAAAAAGGAGTTTTACAATGCTATTGCATTGTTTTTCAAGATAAAAAGGACATCTTGTGAACAAACCTTCTGCCAGCATCCCAAGTTTGGTTAGATGTGTTAAAACCATTTGCTTAACGACAGATTGCCTTCTTAGATTTGTGCATTAATTTTTGTGTTTTAACTTTCATCGCCCCCTAAATTAGAAGAATTGTCTTACACTTCAGCGAAATGCATCAGAGCATGAGTTCCTCAGTGGCAAAACAGTCAGATGTTTTGAAAACAGGATGCGTTGGCTCTGCATTATAAAAAGAGGAACGGAAAGAGAAACAGTATAGAAAGGAAGAAAGCAAATAACCTCAGCAGGATCCCCAGCCCAACACGGCATAAACAGTGACCTATCTTCCTGACCTTCACTATGGCTCAGTTCCTGACCTCGTGTCACCAAAGCCGATGGACGTCATTGGAGGAGGATAGGAGGAATGGCGCAGCTGCTGTGAGGGGGACTAGAAATTCCTGTCTCCTTCCTGACAGACGCAGACCGAAAAGTACACGGTTGCAACAACAGTGGCTGAGGAAGGGCCAACCCAGAACAATCCCAGGGAGACGTAGTAGTGACTGCTGGGGAGTGGAGAGTTGTTTCTTACTCCCTTTTACTGAGAAACATTGTCTCTCACCTAGAATTTTCAAGTGAATGATGTCAAAAGGGTCATTCATACCCAGCATGTTGAACACTTCAAAGAATGAACATACTGTGGTATTCAGCAAGAGGCTGCATTCAAGCAGTCTAGTCACTGCCCCAAGTTACCTGCACACTCCCCCTTCTTGCTTTACCCTGGGGCTATTTCTTATGCTGTACAAAGGTTTGGGTCCTGTGAGTGAACCTGGCTGTCCTGAATTTTAGTAGAATGAAGCATCGGGACCTTCCACTTCAGGAAATGTTTGCTAAAGTAACGAAAAGACAGGCACTGGAAACGGGAGGTCCTTTTCTCTCAAGGCATTGTGAAGTCAGCGACAGATAGGCTCACCCTTCACCAGGAAGTAAGTCCTCCTGGCCATGCAGGTTTATTTTTCCAGTTCTTCAGGTGTAGCCGTCCTGGAGTCCTGAATACTGAGCTTTATAACAACTAATTACCTGTGTCTTGGGTGAAAAGGAATAAAGTCACACCATTCTGGCAGCCTGGAACCACCTGGGATCCAGGTTGCATGACACTGAAGGTGATATGACAGGCTAATGGCCCTAACGCCAGGTGAGTCATTTTCTATCTAACTGAATAATCAATAATTGGGAAATTTTGGACCCAGAAAAAGCAAAAGGAAATAGATCTTATCAGACAACGGATTCATCTGAGGACTTTCTCAGGAAGATGGTAGACAGTTGAGAAACTGACGGCACTTTTGCCGAAAATTCAGTGCTAGGATTAGAGTAGGGTCGCCCTTCGCGCAAGAGATTTGTGTCTTTC